ACACACACTCCCTGGCTTCCCCAAATAAACCATGCTTCCCCAGCTGTAATTATCATGTAATTATTCATGGCTTTGTAAGCTCTTTGTGGCAAGAGAGAAATGCCAGCTCCCAGAGCCACGAGCCAGCCTGTCACCCTCACATCTCTCCCTCATCTCCTTTTCATCTCTCCCAGGAGTTTGGTCTCCCAGTATTTTTGGAAGAGGGGCAGAGTCTAAGGCAGAAGAGCTTCCATGTATGAACAGAGCTGCACAGTACTTCACTCCTTAGAGAAAGCCTTGTTTGAAGTATTCCAAGCACATGTGTAGGCCTGCGTAATAGTCTTTTTGCTTGAAAGATAAATGGTTAAGTCCTAAAAGCTCTGACCTGCTGAAATTCAAAGCCCAAAACGCATGCCTTCCTCCTTCAGCCTCTCTCTTGCACAGGACACGCCACCAACAGCAGATGACTTCTCTGAATGAGAAACAGAGGTGGCCACCTTCAAAAACTTCAGCTCCTCAAGAGCATCTTCGAATGCTCCCTCTGCAGTCAGTGGAGAATGGGGCGCTTCCCTCTGCCTGTCACTGCTGCCTTCCTTTCTCTTCCCCTCTCTCCTGGGGCTACAGAGGAGGTTTGTCCTCCGGGGCTGTGTTAACCCTCTGGAGCACCCAGACCCTCTGTTTACCCACCTCTGTATGGCTGCATGGCTGGTATCACTGGCTGGTACCTCACAGTACTTGATCTGTCCTCAAAAGCGATGCAGCCCAGTGACAGGAGTAGCTCAGCACATGGCCCTGGACTGCAAGGCAGCTTCCTCTTCTCCCAGCAGTTTTCATGTGCTTTTCCTTGCGACTGAGAGTCTGGGAAGGTGAAACAGGAATTGTGACCCACTGTGATCCTGTGTTTAATTCTGTGACAAATACATGTGGGTAAGGGTTTGATGCTGATATGTATTTTTATAGGTGTGATACAGCTACTGCCTCGTAGAGCTGCAATGAAGAAAACTTCCATAACTCAACACATCATCCTCGACTATTTACACAGTTTGTAAGACATATCCGTCCTTTCACACCTCTTTATGTGGGGATTCATAAAACCTCAGATCATCCAAAATAAGAAGCTGAATAGTACAGAAACAGCCTTTCATCTGATACACCCTTAGCTGGACTTACATTTACTCACATTAGCTGAGGATCTGACTCCCAGCTCCTCCCACATTCGGTCTCACATCTTCAGAGCAGCTCATTTAACTCCTTGTGCTCTCCTCTACCTTCCAACAACTAAAATCATCTTCTTAGGAGCAACTGCAGACACTGTGCCCAGCGTACCTGCCAGAGACCTGCTGCTGCTTTGGTAGGAACACAAATAACATCAAGTGGGCAAAGGAAACGACTTGTTTTGTCCAATTTGCTTTGAATGGATCTGGTCTGGTTTAGGATGATGCAAGCCCTGAAAAGCGCTGTGAGCCTCTTGGCACTTCTAAGCCAACAACCAAAACCTGCTTCAATTTGGACAAATTTCCAGGCCACAGTGGTCAGGGCACCACTGAAAGATCCTGGGTATTAAAGACCAGAATCGAAATAAGAAACAGAAGCTACCTGAAGGGGAGGGCGCTGTGGGAACCCGCCTGCCTTTGGTCTGACAATGCAGAGTGTGTTCTGGTTTCCCCCAGCATCCGGTGCACTCCAGCAAGTTGCTAAATAAAGTTGAGCCAAAACTTCACTGAGGGCTTTGGTGTTGCTTTAAATGGCACATCTCATCCCTGCTGGCGGGGCTGCAGCTCACGGTAAAGTCAGCAACCACATTAACAGCTCTCCTAAAGGCTGCTCTCTATATTCTAAATCCTCAGCTCGAAAGCTGCTAAAATAAGCACTTAAAATAACAACTTCAAACACTCACACGAGGCTGCATCCATTCAGAAGAGCTATTTTTTCCCCACCTCACTCGATTTCCCCTCAGTGCTCATTACACAAAGGATGCTCCATGCCATGACCAGAGAGAAAGGCTGGATTTCCGCTCCGGACTGGCATAAGTCAATTAGAACCTCCTGGCTCCTAATTACAGGATTTGTTATTTATACCAGGCTGCCTCCCGGTACAAACCCCCAGTGACTGAGGCCTTCTCTTCGTGATGAACATTCCCTTGGATACATGTGGAGGCTGCAATGCACTGAAGAGTGTTTCTTTTCCCTCTATTCTCAGCAAGCAGCATTCAGATTCCATGAGAGTGCTTAATCCCCTTTTAAGCCTGAGTGAAAGCAACCTGGATCACAGGCAGCATCTTGTGATTGTGAACACAGATTCTATCTACTGGAAAAGCTGTAAAATAACACAGATTCATAGAATTGCTTAGAAAAGACTGTCAAGTCCAAGTATTAACCCAGCACTGCCAAGCCCACCACAATATAAGCCAACACATGGCCTGCAAATGACAATGACATAAAGGAAACTGCTATGCAACACCAGCAGCTCAGAGATGATGTATCTAACTAACAGTTCATTATAGAAAATGAAATTAAGAGCATGAGAATTAGAACTGAACAGTAGCCCCCCTAATACATCCAAAGAACAAACTACTAAAAGTCTTGTGAATCCAGGGAAATGATATATGGGTCCATTTAAAACAAACCCACCAGCAAAGAGAAACAACAGGAAGCCCAAACCTCACTTTAAATACATACTCAAGCCTCCTTCAGCAAGCTGAGCACCCGGCCCTTTCATCACCATCAAGACCTCTTTGAAGTTCAGGCCTCCTCAGATGTATTCTCCTGCTTTGCATGGATTCTCCTTGCCCGTTATCACCTGCAGGCAGAGAGCACAACAATTCACACACATTACCACAGCTCTGTGTAAAGCTGCAGTGTTTCCTGTCGCTCACCCTCAGCTCTTTAGGAGCTTCTCAGACTGCTGGGAGGAGAATGTTCTGGTTACACCATGGAAGCCACCGCTTCTCTGGGCACCCTGTGCCAGCGCCTCAGCACCCTCACAGGGAAGAGCTTCTGCCTAAGAGCTCATCTCAGTCTCCCCTCTGGCAGGTTAAAGCCATTCCCCTTGGCCTGGCCCTACAGGCCCTTGTCCCAAGCCCCTCTCCAGCTTTCCTGCAGCCCCTTCAGGCACTGGAGCTGCTCTCAGGTCTCCCCTTCAGGAGCCTTCTCTTCTCCAGGCTGCCCCAGCCCAGCTCTCTCAGCCTGGCTCCAGAGCAGAGCTGCTCCAGCCCTTGCAGCATCTCCATGGTCTCCTCTGGCCTCGCTCCAACAGCTCCACGTCCCTCTGGTGTTGGGGTACCTGTGGACACCCCGCACCCCAGATAGAGCAGGACACGCCTTGGGTGTTTTACCTTTGAGGTACCTGTGATGCTCCTCAGCACTGCATTTGCCCTGAGAGAGCCCTGCCTGCTCCTCCCTGAGCTCTCAGGGCTCAGCACAGCTTCATCTCCCCACCGCAGGGCTCAGGACAGGAGCTGATCTTTGGTATCATACACAGCTTCTTACCTACAGACTGTCTGCTGCCTGTGCTGGATCCTTACATCCCAACCGTGTTAGTCATTGCTTAGTTATCGCTGGGAAGCCTTCTTCATAGGAACAGATAAAGAGCCCTCTGGCAGGAATGCGTTTTAATGAATCCCCTGAAAGGCAGCACACGGTAATTTCTAGAAGGCGATGCCATGACTAACAGTAGCTGACTGACTGAAGCAGCCCAGGGACAGGATGAGGTAGGGAAGGAAAAGGAAAATCGGGTTAACGTTAAAATTTTAATGATGACTTCAATGGGAAAGTGTTCAGGCATTTTGACCGAGCAGTTGCGGCTCTGAATGGCTTAAAGCTATTCTGGAGAGGAATGGTACCACTCCAAATGTTGTCTGCGAGGGCCCAGCACTGCTCTCTGCAGGGCACAGAGTCACAGAATCAACCAGGTTGGAAAAGCCCTTTATGCTCACGCAGTCCAACCATTGCCCAGCACTGCCAAGGCCACCACTGCCCCGTGGCACTGAGACCTTGTCCTCATGGTGATGGTGTGTGAACACCTGCAGGGACTGAAGCACGGAATCAGGCTCTACAGCCCAAGGACAGCTATGAAGCAGGGATGTTCACTTCACTTATTAGAAGGATGAAAGGAAACAATTCACTCTTGTTAGTAAGACTACTAAATTCTGTTATCACACCGCAGACTCACAACACAAACGTTGCTCTCTATCTGAGACCCAAGTTAAGCTAAAAGTATCTTAACCCTATGTTTTCCAGGCACTTGCTTTCCCTATATCAGGACGGTGCCCGCAGCCCTGCCCTGGGCAGCCTGTTCCAATGCCTGAGCACCCTCTGGGGCAAGAATTGTTCCTCAGCTCCATCTAAACCTGCCCTGGTGCAGCTTGAGGCCGTTTCCTCTTGCCCCATCCCTTGTTCCTTGGGAGCAGAGACGTGCAACCACCTGCACGGAAAGAGGGTGTTGAAAACAAGACGCTTTCTGGCCAGGGTGTATTTAACAGCGGGTGAAGCCCCGGCACGTTGTTTCTGAAGCTACAGCAGGTACTGTAACGTTCTCTATTCTCCAACAACATACAGGTCACGGAGGAAGCCCCTGCGCTGCGTGTGCCCTCAATGGCACTGATTTCCTGGCGCAGCAATTCCCTGTGCTCCCCGCCTAGCTCTTTAGCGTTTTCCCTCCCGTGGCACCGTTACCCCCGGCCTCCCCTGAGGCTCCAGCGCTGCCTGAGGAGCAGAAGATCCGTGCCCGGGACAGACCCGGAGCCAGGAGCCCGGGGCCGAGCGGACCGAGCCCGGCGCACCCGGAGCGGCAGGACCCGGCGGCGGCTGCGGCCCCGGTAAGGCTCGGAGGGGCTCGGCGGGGAGAGGATGCCGAGGGCAGGCAGCGGAGCCCCTGGGCACGGGCGCTGAGCGGGGCCAGCCCCACACGCCCGGTCCCGGGTGCCCCCACAGTACCCGGTCTGAGGCGCGGGGTCCATCGAGGGGTACGGGGTTAACGCATTGGAATGAAAGCTGTTTCCTTCTCGCTGTCAGCCCGCAGTGATGTGGAACGCGCTGTGCTGCGGGACGGCCCCCAGAGCCGTATCCCTGCTGCTCCCGAGGTTAAGCACCTTAAACGGCGTGTTTGGAAGGGAGCACAGGGATCTGTGCAAGCAGCCAGCGCGCAGGCTGCAGGGTGAGGGCTGGGGAAGGACAGCCGGCATGCTGCCCTGCCGCTTAGTGAGCGGGAGAGCGAAATACAGACAGTGTGCACCAGCTTACCCTGCTCCGGACGGACTCATCCCGTCTGTGCACCGGCAAGCGTTTGAAGACAGCCTGAGGAACAGCGAGGCTGTTGTTAAAAGGTAATAAGCTGGGTTTGGGGTGGTTTAAAACTGCTGCTGCTTGTGAGGTGATGTGAGAGTTACTTATGGGCACTTCTAGGAACTGCTTAACATAGGAAGAAGCACAGACCATGGAATGGTTTGCGTTGAAAGGGACCTTAAAGCTCATCCAGTTCCACCCCCCTGCCACGGGCAGGGACAGCTTCCACAAGGGCAGCTTGCTCCAAGCCCCGTCCAACCCTGCCAGGGATGGGGCTTCCATCTCTGAAATCCCAATTGAGAAGCCCAGAGGTTAAAAAGCCCTAATAATAATAAATTTGGGGATGGGATATTTTCCATTTTGGAGCTTAACCCAGCTCCCCCGCTGCTCTTTTTTTTCAGGCAGTTTCTCTGCAAAGTGAATTTACCACGATCAGGGCTTAAGAACTTCAACCCCCCTAAAAGAGGAGCCTAAATGTGCCCGAATCTACACGTGCGTTGCATTAAAGCAGTTCCTAGACCTAGAAAATTGTTTCTAGACCTCCGGAAGAACCCTTTTGTGTTTGATTGTGAACGCAAAGGCACAAAGGGTGACTCGGAGCTTCCAGCTCCCGCCCCAGCAGCGGTGGCTGTTGCCGCACTCGGTCGTGATTCGCCGATGAAAGCAGGAGAGCGCATTTTGTGTGCTGCTCCTTGAACAGCCGCCTTTGCTCGGAGGGGTTCAGAGGAGCTGGAAGCGGAGCTGGCAGAGCGCACTGTGCCCTCCTGCGGTGGCTGTTACAGCAGCGGTGAGGATCCTTAGCTTGCGGCTCGGAGGTTTTCCAATCTCTCCTGTCCGCAGGAAGCCCCAGTAAGATAACGGAGTCCCGCACAGAGCGCTGTGTAAGGAGTTAGGTCAGCAGTGCGTTTGGTTCGAGATGATTCATCTTGGTGGAAAATGCTCTATTTGAAATAAATGAAGAACCTGGTTTATTGAAGATCAAACCTATTCAAGATACCGCATTTCTCTGCAGTTTATTCAGTTCTTCATCTGAACTTGGTGCTGCCCTGGCAATGAGGGGTAATTCCCCTCCTCATGGCTGCAGTGGCACTGCAGTGTTCACTACATTGAAAGTGCAGTTTCCATGCTGTTGAGTGTGCATTTCTTCTAGATTTACTGATTTCTTCCACTTACTCTTCTGGATTTAGTGATTTATTCTACTTACCAGTTACTGATTTTTGTTGAGGGGAACTGAAGGAGGCAGCCCCTGAGCGGATTCATCCCTAGAGTAGTTGCAACATGGTAAATCTCCATGCTGAATTAGGCTATCCAATTGTAAGAGCCTAATGGATAGCTGCAAGTGTAGATAGAGGCTGACGTTGTTGTAGTAACTCTCAAAGTTAGCTTTGGTCACTGATGATCAGCCTCTGTCAGTGCTCTGCTTGCGGGCTTGCTGGCAGAGATTATGATCATACACTGTGAAATACTCTGTTGGGTGTATATGGGCAACACCCAGTGCAGAACAGGGATTTAATAACAGCTGCTAGCTAGGAACATAAACTGCAGATAGAATATTAGTATTATTTCACTCTGGTTTTGTCTTTGTTAGGTTTTGAATGACAAAACTTAAATGCTTGCTTTAAATTACATGGCTTTGCTTTTTGTTAGACTTTGTAAGGAGCAATAATCCAAAGATGTGACTTCCTCTCCATCCTCAAACCGTTATATGAAGACTGCAATACGTTTAAGTGCAGTTCAATGTGCTGAAGTGTCACTTGCGAGTAACAGTGGTTTTGATCAATGGAAGCTCTGTTTTTCAACCCAGATACTTGGAGTTGCTGGAGCTGGTCAGGAAAGGAGGGGGAGACAAGGCCGTTGGGCGTCACACCCAGAGGAACAAGAAGCTGTTTGTCCGGGAGCGCCTGAGGCTGCTGCTTGACCACGAGTCTTTCCTTGAGCTGCCTCCACTGGCAGGGCTCAACATGCCCTATGGGGATGTCCCTGCGGCTGGGGGCCTTACCGGTAACGGCAATGACTGTCGTCTAGATGGGAAATCACCTTTAAACATGATCCATGTTACAGCTAAAGATGGATTTGGGCTCAGGGGGTTGTTTTGAGCAGCCCGGTGGGGATGCAGCCCAGAAGGAAAAAGGGGTTTGAACCAACATGATCCTTAACACAATTTGAGAGATGCTGTTTGGGTGCAGCAATGAGTAGGTGATGGCAGGCAGGGTACATCAGTTGTGTTTGTATGTGCTGTACACCTTCCCAGAGTAACCAGCCTTGCTCATGGAAGGTAAAGTGTTTGATCTTGCTGGGAAAGGAAGAAGGATGCACACAGTAAGTTTTATGGAATATATTAGTACCTTAAGAATATGCTTTCCTAGGAAAATGAACATCAGCTCTAGCAAGCTGCAGATCCCAACACGGAAAAGTTCAGCTGTATTATTCTTCTGTGAGTTTTGCTGGGAAATCTGGGAGAAGCCTTTAAAGAAAAAAGGTTGGTCCTTTCTTCTAGATTCAGTGACTTATTGTACTTCCCAGTTACTGACTTTTGCCTCAAAAAATCTAGGACGATGTGTCAGGTAAGCTGCTGTCTGTTAGAGGAAAGGGAACCAAGTCACTGGGAGACACAGTTTATTTTGTGTCATTTTTCATATCATAGACAAGTCTTTTCATTGCATTTTGAAGAGTGGGTCCAGTTCAAAAAGTAACTAGAAGGGCAGAGTAGGAAATCCTGTCTTTTGTCACAGATTGCTATGGTTTCTAGCTTTATATGGGTAATTTGAGTTGCCTTCCCTGTTATCTCAAGGGATGGAAGTCAACCTTTTCTTCTCATATATTGTCACCAGGAGTACGTTGACTTCAGCACCTGTTTTCTGTCATTTAAATCCCTTTTTTTAACTGCCTCTGCCTTTAGCTTGCTGCTCCAGAGGAACTACAGATTTCTGCCCTCTGCAGTATTTGCAACTTGATTTGCAGCTCCTTGATACAGTATTACCAAGAGAACATCCTAGCTGTAACTTGCCCCCTTGTTTCATCTGGAGTATTTTGGAGAGTCCTGCTAAGTGTCTGTCTGTGAATCCACTTACAGGAGTTGGCAAAATCTGTGGGGTCTGGTGTGTCTTCATGGCAAACGATGCAACTGTGAAAGGAGGAACCGTTTATCCCATTGGGGTGAAGAAACAGTTAAGAGCTCAAGAAATAGCCATACAGAACAGGCGGGTATCCATGTACCTGCTTGACAGCGGGGGAGCATTCTTACTGTAAAAGCAGAATTGGTCCAGGTTCCTTCCACTGTACAGAGGTCACATTATCACAAAGACTACTTTTCCCCTCTTCACACTGAAAGCGAACACAGAAAAAGCTCTGACCTGACTTAAGGAATTGTATCCCAAACTAAGTAAAAAGGGAGACTGCTGAAGTCATGTCACAGATAGAGAAAGGATGAACATGAGCTTCCCCTTCCCACGTTTGCAGTCTCAGTTTGCGTAGAATGAATGGGTTTCAACAAAAATGACAAAACTTACCTCTGCGTTCAAACCACACGGGTACTTTTGTGTCTGAGGGGAATAAACACTGCAGGCGATGCTGGACATGGAAGCTTCAGGTGGGATTGTTGGTGCTGACCTCCCAGAGTCAGTTGCAAGGCGTTTGTGAAGGAATGCGGAGGAAGTGCTGGCTTTTGAAGCAGATCACGGAACTCACTTTGGTTTTTGTGTGCAATGACAGGCAGAGCTGTTTCCTGACAAGTCACACGGTGGCAGAGTTTTCTACAATGAAGCGATGATGTCCTGCCATGCGAATCCCTCAGGTACGGTGTCACCTGGAGTGCAAGGACATGTAGGACACGTAGATGTACCAACAGAGCCCTGAAACGGTTTTGTTCTAGTACAGATTCTAGGAACAACTCTCAAACACACAAAAAATTCCTGAAGCTCACCCTTCCTGCCTGCGGGAGTTTCGAATGAACCGTGGGGAAGGGAGATTCAAACTCACATAAGTGAATACTCCATCCTTAAGGATGCATTTCCAGAGAAGCTGTGGCTGCCCCATCCCTGGCAGTGCTCAAGGCCAGGTTGGACACAGGGGCTTGGAGCAAGCTGCTCTAGTGGAAGGTGTCCCTGCTCATGGCAGGGGTTGGAGCTGGAGGAGCTTTAAGGTCCCTTCCAACCCAAACCAGTCTGGGATTCTATGATTATATGCTCATCTTCTAAGTATTTACTGACTGTGATGGAAAAGCATCAAATCACCGGGTTATTTCAGAGTAAGCATTGAACTCTCTCAGAACCAGCACTGCTGTTCATGCTGGTATTTACAGCTCTAGTTCATTGCTCCCCAAGCTGTGATTTAGCCTATGAAATCAGCGTTAATGGTTTTGCCTTTCCTTCTCCCCTCCCCAGCATCTTGAATTGTTTGGTTTCTGTGTCCTTCAGGCGGCAGTGGTGTGTGGCCCCTGTGTGGCTGGAGGTGCCTACATCCCAACCATGGCAGAAGAAGCTGTGATTATAGATAAAGTTGGTACATTATTCCTTGCTGGCCCACCTCTGGTAAAAGCTGCTACAGGAGAATATGTCTCCCCCGAGGACCTGGAGGAGCCAGACTTCCCTCTCAGTATGTGAAATAATTCTCAGGAGTAGTAGAGAATTCAGCATACTTAGCTTTAAAAACCTGCTATTTTTATCCTAAATTGATGCAACATCACAGACTGGTTTGGGTTGGAAGGGACCTTAAAGCTCTTCCAGCTCCAACCCCTGCCACGGGCAGGGACCCCTTCCACTAGAGCAGCTTGCTCCAAGCCTCTGTGTCCAACCTGGCCTTGAGCACTGCCAGGGATGGGGCAGCCACAGCTTCTCTGGGCATGTACATGGATGAATGATTATTATATGCAGAGATGTTACATAAATTATGATAAAGGTTGTTATTCAGTTATATACATGGAAGTATCATGGGGTTAGATACAACTCTTTGAAATCAACAAAGTAACATGGCATCGTAATTTCAGCTTTCCTATTGAAGGAACTTTCCACTTCCATTGTGGAAGTGAATCCCATTGTGAATATTACATATTCACACACTCTGGTAGAAATCTCATGTTAAGAACAGAGGTCAGGATCAGGGTCAAAAGTGGAACCTGTTACCACACTGCCTTCCTCCCCAGGTACAGCTTAGAGAAGCCAAATGGAAGTAAAATTAAGTGATGTTAAGGGGTGAAGCAGGACTTGACACATCTGGGTTTGGTTCCTCATTCTCCCACATACATTCCGAACAAGCTCGGGCAAGTCAGTGCCTCAGAGGGACCAGCTATGGAAGAGAGGTGGTGACTTTTCTTTCCTAATGGAAACCTTGTCAGGATACAGCTATCAAAAAAAGTAGCAGTGAGTGTGCAAATACTGTGGTGATGGGGAAAATGCATCAGGAATTCTTTAATACAGATAAACACAAAATCCACAGGGAAGAACTTGTCCTCACTGTGAATTTGTCTGGGGTTTGGATTGCACAGAAATTCCACTGACTTAACTGCTTTCAGCTCATTCGTACAAGAACATCACACATCAGGCAGGTGGGAGAGTCCCGGTATGGATTCAGGTTTTTCCTTCAGTTTGTTTTAGAATCACAGAAAAGTTAGGGTTGGAAAGGACCTTAAGATCATCCAGTTCCAGCCCCCCTGCCATGGGCAGGGACACCTCACACTAAACCAGGTCACCCAAGGCTCTGTCCAACCTGGCCTTGAACACTGCCAGGGATGGAGCATTCACAACCTCCCTGGGCAACCCATTCCAGTGCCTCACCACCCTCACAGGAAAGAATTTCTTCCTTAGATCCAATCTAAACTTCCCCTGTTTCAGTTTGAACCCGTTACCCCTTGTCCTGCCACTACAGTTTTCTACCAATCGGAATTCAGGTTTCATCAATTCAGTGTTAAGAATGTTGTTCTCTCTCCCAGTGTCAGTGGCTGCAGTGACCATTTTGCATCTTCAGAAAAGGAAGCCTATGAATGTATTCGAAACATCACCTCCACACTGAATTATGAACCCGTGCCAGAGGAGGCCATAGAGCACCACAGCCCTTTGTATAGCTCTGAGGAGCTCCTGGGACTGGCACCACAGGTGTACTCTTCCTGTCAAGTTGGTAGTGTGGACAGATGCTCTGTTCCTTCTTCCTTTCAGTGTGCTCAGTTTAAAGCCATTCCCCCTTGTGCTATCCTACAGGCCCTTGTCCAAAGCCCCTCTCCAGCTTTCCTGTAGCCCCTTTATATACTGTGTCAGTATGTCATGTACCATGTTGGCTGCCTTGAGCATGTGCACCCCTTTAGTGACCTCTTTAAGTGTCCTCCCCCTGCCTTTCCCCCCACACCTCCCAGGGAATCAAGGCTTTGCCTTGTCACGTACATGCTGCATGGAAATGCTGACTGAAAACCCCACAAAGCTCAAATCAGACTTGTTTGAAGTTGGGACAGACGCTAACACAGAAGCAGAGACATGCTGAGCTGCCCATGTTGTTTTCATTGTGTTGCTCTAGAAGGGATTTAGTCTCCAAGGATGCGAATCCAGTATCTTTTCCAGAGGTAAATTCCTACATTTGAGGGGGTTGACTGTAGAAAGTGATGTAGCTTTGAAGGCAGCTTTTAAATTGTGTCTGGAAAAAGCCTGAGCAATCCACAGCTGAGTGGTCCTTATGCACGCAAGCCGTAACTGCACACGCTGGGTTTTGTACAGCATTTATATGCACGTGAACGACTGTGCTCTGTAAGACTGAAGTAATTTTGGAGCTGAACTTTGCTCAAAATACATGGTTGGTAACGAAATGTAAACACAGATCTGGTGTTTTGTGCATACTGAGTATTCAGTGGAGTGGAAGATGTAAAAGGGCTTCAGTGCTCATTTAGGCTGAGTATTTGAGTAAGAGTGTCTTTTAGCAGAACTGTCCTGTTTTCACTTGGATTTCTACAGTAAAGACTGTTTCTTTGCAGATTCTGAGCCGTCTGCTGGATGGAAGCAGATTCCAAGAATTCAAGGCTCATTACGGAATGACATTAGCAACAGGATTTGGCCATGTGGAAGGGTAAGGCTAGCAAAATGTATGGACACACTGCATATCATAGAACCACAGAATGGTTTGGGTTGAAGGGGCCTTAAAGCTCCTCCAGCTCCAACCCCTGCCACAGGCAGGGACACCTTCCACTAGAGCAGCTTGCTCCAAGCCCCTGTGTCCAACCTGGCCTTGAGCACTGCCAGGGATGGGGCAGCCACAGCTTCTCTGGGTGCCTCAGCACCCTCCCAGGGAAGAGCTTCTGCCCAATATCTAATCTCAATCTCCTCTCTACTTGTCTAATAGCTTTCCCATCATCATCAGTTTTTACAGTGATCCAGTAACAGTGTTTATGAAGTTCTGAGTCAGTCAAAGATTGGTAACAAAATAAGCTGATTCCTGTCTCTTGAGCTCTGAATTCACCACGTCCCAGGCCAATCGCAGCAGGGAGTGATGACAAATGAATGGTTTCCATAACCTGGTGATAAGATTTATTTGTTCACAGGAACTACCAGCCAGACAGTTGCAACACTGAAGTCTCAGCAGATTCCTTAGGAAATCAGAAACAGCATCTTTCAAAAGTGTTCCTTTTCAAACTGAATTCAAAGCTCTCATCCCTTGCCCCATGTGATGGAGATGGGATAAGATGCAACAAAACCTTGTGTAATTCAGATCAGACTGCGTTATTAACACATTCATGAAGCATATAACATTCTGGTCAAATCATATTAGGGAAAAAAAAAAAGGTAGTAAAATACAGTTTTTGAGCTTCTTTAGGTTGAAAGCATGAACTTTTCAAGTTGACTGTTTTGTTCTATGATGCAGGAATTAAAGAGAGCTCAGAGTCCAGGCACCTTGTACATTACCTTGTAGTAATGTCACCTTTCTCACTCTAACAAGGCCATCTATAGCTTTACCTACTCTCTGGGTATTAGTCTATTCTAATACCTCCATGCTTTATGTATCAGGAATACTGTAAGGCTTCTGGTTAGGTGCGTGTGGGTCCTTGAATGAAATGACACATGTACCTGCATCCTTTTACATGCTGAACTTCTGTAAATGATAGATCTGTGTGTGTGTGTGTGTGTACAGATATTTACATTTCCATCCTTCAGAATGTTACAAGCTACAGTGCCGTGATTTCTAGAGCTCAGAAGTGAAAATGTTCTTGAGTCTTGCTTTGTAGGCACTTGGTGGGGATAGTGGCCAACAACGGTGAGCTGTCTCATGATGCTTCTCTCAAGGGTAGCCACTTCGTGCAGCTGTGCAGCCAGTGGAGCATTCCCATCCTCTTCTTCCAGAACACAGCTCCACAGGTAGCAGAGCCAACAAGCATCTCACAGGTATGGGATGTTCACTGCAATGTGCTTTGAATATCTTTTAGAAGAGCGAGGCATTAAAGTACAGCATGATTTTGGCCTTGAACACTGCCAGGGATGGGGCAGTCACAGCTTCTCTGGGCACCCTGTGCCAGCGCCTCAGCACCCTCACAGGGAAGAGCTTCTGCCTAAGAGCTCAGCTCAGTCTCCCCTCTGGCAGCTTAAAGCCATTCCCCTTGGCCTGTCCCTACATCCCTTGTCCCAAGCCCCTCTCCAGCTTTCCTGCAGCCCCTTCAGGCACTGGAGCTGCTCTCAGGTCTCCCCTTCAGGAGCCTTCTCTTCTCCAGGCTGCCCCAGCCCAGCTCTCTCAGCCTGGCTCCAGAGCAGAGCTGCTCCAGCCCTCGCAGCATCTCCATGGCCTCCTCTGGCCTCGCTCCAACAGCTCCACATCCCTCTTGTGCTGCTGCCCCAGAGCTGGACCAGGACTGAAGGGGGGGTCTCCCCAAAGCACAGCAGAGAGGCAGAATTGTAAAGAAATCAATGGTTTGGAAATACAGAGCTGGTGGGAGCAGAGGGAATCTGGAAGAAAAATTTAAAGGATCTAAAATCTTGGCTTCCCTTCCAGGCAGAGGCTCACACCAGCAGAGTGAAAGCCCAGGCCTCCATGATGGCTGCTGTTGCTTGTGCTGCTGTTCCCAAAATAACCATTGTAGTCAGTGGCTGTTTTGGGAGCAAGAGTTACGTTATGGTAGGAGTGGTATAAATCTGATGGGTTTGGCAAGAGGCTTTTCACCCTATACCATGGTCTCACAGCACTTCATTTTTAAACCACAGTTGGCTGTTGTTACAGACATTTAACTCAGTCCAATCTTTTAACTGCTTTTAGAGTAAAACATGTATCTCAAGCTCCTATTACTGAAAACTTGGTCTGCAGCTAAAAGCATAGAGCCAGGTCTGAAAATCACATGACCTGAAAGCATCCCTTCTTGAGGCCAGTCCTGCCTTTTCCTCAGCACATGTTTCCATGGAGCAAGGAACACATCTTGTGGGTGTGCTCCTCAGTACAATAGGGTTCTTTGCGCCGAATTAAACATTTAAGTGCTTGGGGAAAAAGGAAAAGATAAAATAGCAATACTGGGGGCAGTGGGGATGGTGATGGTGCTACAGGGTGTCTGTACTGATAGAGGAGCTGTATCATTAATCTGTTACAAATTAAACTGTACTATAAGGTCAAGACAGAATGGTTCAACCATCCCACACCCATCTTCTTGGGATTCATTTCAAGGACTTTCTTCTCTGCTCTTTCTTTTTGTAGCGTGGGAGATCGTTCAGCCCAAACTTCTTGTTCTTGTGGCCTAATGCACGGGTTGCTCTTGTGGATTCAAGACAACTCTCCACAGTCCCACAAGCTGGGGACAGTGGGCACAGAGGAGAGGAAGCACAGCTGAAACAGCTGAAAGAAAAGTAAGGACATGAAATAGAAACCCCTGCAGGGCTTAGTTAGTTAAATTGCCCGCTTGCTCATCTTACAGCTCAATACACCCCAGACAAATAAAGCAAACCTCACCCTACTGAATATTTTACTTTTCCTTGTAATTCTATGACTCCTCTTAAGATCTTCTCAAAGAAATGCAAATGCTTGCCTAAAAACCCCCATACAACCCCAAATGAAGATAGTCTGCTGTGTATTGAACAGTGGTGATCATCTGTATGTGGAGGCTGGCCTGTACTGCAGAATGATCAGATCTGGCATATGTTATTTAGTGGATTCTAATGAATTTTAACCATAGGTCTGCATATTCACTTGAGATTTAAACATATGCCTTTTCCATCTATAATTTTGTTTCACTGGCACAACAGTTTTTAATACATTGTTGTGCTTTTGAGCTTAATACTGTGTCCTCTCCAGGCTAGAGGAAGAAACCAGTGCATTTTACTCCTCTGCCAGACTCTGGGATGATGGCATAATTCTACCTCAAAACACTAGAAAGGTGGGTTTTCTCATCTTAGAATGTTTTATTCTCAGATCTCCAAAGGATCTTGAGGCAAATGCTTGTGACTCGCTCAATGTCAGTGGTATGCAGAGTTCCACAACCAGCTCTCCCATTTCTCACTCCATTTTCTGTGGAATTTTAGCTTTAGCATCTTTTCTCTTCCCCAGTAATCTATCTTAAACGTTTCCTCACTGAACCTCTCGGTTAACTTTACAGAACCAAATGGTATCCAAATCCTTTCTTTTCAATCTTGCATCATTGCTGTATCCTCACTCTTTGAAGTTCAGCTCTCTTGACATAAGATACTTTTTTTTGCTGCTTCCTCTTCCTGCTTCTAATTTACTGCCACATTTGGGATGCCCCCCTGCCTTTTTATTGATTCTTTTAAGTTGACAAACTTCCATCCATCCCATTGGACTGTCCCTGAAAGCCGCCACCTTTGGTCTTTGCTTTTTCCTTGTTAGATTCTTTATTAATTGTTCTCTATGCTTCTGCAGCTTGTTTAAAGATCACAAATGGAGCTATCAACTAATCCTCCTAATTGTGATACATAGTTATGGTAGCATGTACATGTGTTTTCTGTGGAGTTTATGGGGACTTTGATGAAGGGAGAGCACCAAGTAGTATTTTCTAATACTAGAGCCTCTCTAGGAGCTACACATGGAAAGAAAATTGTGATAGTTGAAATGAATCGTTGTCATTCTCCTGTTAATTTTCACCAGCACACAACTCCTGTTTGCATGTGGAGCTGTTCTTACACTTTGTTTTGCTCCTTTATCCCATAGTTTGTGCTAATAGGTGGAATTCCTGCTTAGCTTTCTCTGAACTGACACCATGTGCCCATTGAGATCCAAAATGTGGTGTTTTGTACATAGGCTTTTCACAGACAGTGTGTGCTGCAGCAGCAGTGAAATAGGCAGAATGATCTTGTGTTTAAAGGCCAAAAGCAGTTCAGTCCCCGTTGTCATAATACATGAAAGATGACTTCCTAAAAAAAGATGGATGTGGAAGAGCAGAATGTTCTAGTTTCCAATACGTGACTGGCAGGCTAGGAGCAGAGTTCTGTAATACCAGAAATGGATTATCACAGGACTTACTTTCATTGGAGTTTTACAGCGATTCACCACAATGACTTTAAAAGGGTTGGGCTGTGTCTGCATGCAATGCATGAAGTTTGGGATCCAGAGGACATTTCTTCCTTTACATTTCCCTTGCCCCAGAGGTACTTCACACTGACAGCTATTGCCCCTGACACTACGGCCAACAACTGCTCATTCACTGTTTTGCAGAAAATAAGAACAAATGCTTTACTGAACGAGTGCAGAAGGAGGAGGATTTACTCATTTCTTGGTTCAGAGCCTCATTGCTCCTATTACTTTCTGGTTTTAATCAGGTGATTGCACAGTGTTTGAAGATCATGGAACAGCAGAAGTACCAGGTTGTGTCTCGGTGTCAGCATCCTGTCATCAGGGTGTAACTACAGCCACAGTAAAATCATCCTTTTGAAGTTGCACCATGCACTAGAAATCTTTAATAAGTGATTTTCTAATTCTTTGATACCATTAATAAAAACATTAAACCACGGCAGCCAAACAAGAATCCTGGATTTTAACTCCATCAGCAATAAATTTGTGTTTTGAACCACAGCCTCTTACTACATCAGCTGAAAATTTATGTTGTGAAAGGAAGGATTCAGCTGAGGGGCTGTAACACTCTGAGGAAACAAATTCACCCCAAGTGATACGAGTGTTTTCACAGCCATGTTTCAGCCTCAAACCCAGAACTCTAGAAACTGCACTTTGACAAAAGAAATGGCAAAAGAGCAAACACATAGACCAGTGTGCGCACTAGTGAAGGACAAAATGCTGCTGCCACACACCATCGGGCCTGCTGGCTCAAGTTTCCAAAGCAGCATGGAAAGGCTCCACTCAGATTGCTCTGAAGATACCACAGGAGGGGGTTTAAATCCATAAGGCTTCAGTATAAGCTAAAAATTACCTTTTCCTCAAAGCACAGAGCAGAGCCCAGAGACTTTTCTACCTAATGTTACCAGAGGACTTATAAACAGAGGGGGCACCTTTCCAGAGCTGGAAGAAGCCAGATGTGACGTGTTGCAGGCAGCAGTCAGGCTCTCTTGAACATTCCATGGAAGGTCACGGGAATGTTCACCTCCACCTCAGCCCTGGCCACCTCGCTCATGTCCTTGGCGCTCAGGATCAGGAGGTAGGCAGGCTTGGGTCCCACGCCTGGGCTGATCACAATGCTCAGCACCACCCCTAGATAAGAAAAACAGGATGCTGTCCTGCTTGGTGCATCTCCTCACTGTGAGGGTGCTGAGGCGCTGGCACAGGGTGCCCAGAGAAGCCGTGGCTGCCCCAGCCCTGGCAGTGTTCAAGGCCAGGTTGGACACAGGGGCTTGGAGCAAGCTGCTCTAGGGGAAGGTGTCCCTGCCCATGGAACTGGAGGCGCTTTAAGGTCCCTTCCATCACAAACCAGGCTGGGATTAGTATTTTTCCACATTATGAATTCAGTTATAAATTACTTCATAATTCTGTTGAAGCTTAACATGACAAGATGCCCATTTTGGCTCCTGGTGTCCCTGTGTGGAATGGATGAGACAGCTTAGCCCTGAGGTTGGTTATTTTTGTGCTCTCTGAATCAGCCATTCAGAACACAGGAACAACCCTACCCTATCATCTGTGAAAGCATCAAACTGCAGAAGATGAGAGAAATGCAAGCATGGAGCTTGAGGTTACCTCAGCTGTCAGGGAGTGCTTCTGCAGAGGATTAAGTCCAAGGAAGTAAGAGAGACTTAAAAGTGTTCCCAAAAATGCACATTTTCTGCTTCAGTTAAAGAAAACTGTTAAGAACAAGCTTAACAACTTTTGATTTTAGTGGGACTTAATGCCCTGCACAGGCACTTTGTTGAACTGGGAACAGATAATACAAAATCTGGTTCTTAATCAACCAGTGAGAGTTTGCTTTTAAATTCAGTGGAGCCAAGGCTAATCCCATAATCCTGTTTGGAGATGAGGAACTGAGGGAATAACTGGATTTCCAAACCAGTGTCCCTGACCAAAACATCAGTCTTACCATCATCTTCCTCCAGTGCATCCGGATGGGAAATGAAGATGGGCTCTGATGGGTACGAATCTGGTTCCTGCCACACCCAGGTCTCCTTGGTTTTAATGTTCAGCTTGCAAAGCTAAAGGAGGGAAAACCAAAGTCCACATCTCAGAAATACACTTTCTTGTCCTTAAACTGAAAACTCATTGAAAGGATGTGCCTCACCCAGTCACTAATAGTTACCTTGTCTGGGACAAAGTGGTTCAGGCCCAGCCCATACGCATATGTGTAAGGTTTCCCACAGTACTTCTTGTAATTGATCTGTGGAAATTCAAAGGCTGCAATAAAAAAGAATACATATTTATGCATGGGGATCAGTGGGATGTGGGGTGCAAGAGGTACCAGTGCTGTTGCTTCAGGGTCATTGTCATACCGTGGCGTGGCCCTGAGAAAATGACTTCTGGCTCCAGCCAGATGGTCTCATCGCTGCGCAAGGTGGCTGTAGCTGTGGTGTAGGGCAGGGTGACCAGGTTCTTACCCATGTTGGCCTGGGAGAAAGGAAAACACCCAAGAGAAATAATGGAGAAATCAATTTCTTACTCTATTTGCATAGAAGTGCTGCAAACTGTGCTGAAGGGCAAAGGCAGCAGCGTGCAGCAGAGCCTTATCAAGCTGCAGAACAGCAATGTGCTTAGGAGTGTCTGCTTCTTCAGTTCCATAGGACCCTAGAGCGATTCAAGTTGGAAGGGACCTTGAAGCTCATCCAGTTCCAGCCCAGTGCCCTGGGCAGGGACACCTTCCACTAGTTAATCCACCAGGATTAACTGCTGCTCCAGAGTCTCAGCTTTGAATAGTAACATATGGGAAATAGAATGATATTAAGCAGGTAAAGAAAACAGACAGGTTCTCTGAAGACCCACACTTTAAGCTCACCCCTCGCCATTAAACGGTTCAATTTGGATTAATAGGGTCATGCATAGCATCAGCAATGCTCAGCCATCAGCCCTGCAGGGAACAGCGCAGACCCCGGTACCTTGTCGATGGTGAGAGGCAGGACATATCTGCGCGCCTCGGGCTGTGGGGCTTTCTCAGCCTGGCGCTTTACTTCATCCCAGTTTGCTCGTAAGTTGGCCAAGTAGAGGTAGTTGTAGACAAACTCAAACCTGCAGACAAACAGCATCACAGACAGAGCAAAGATGGGATTTCGAAGTGTCAGGGTATCAAGTGCAGTTGTTTTCTTCCTAACATTCATTTGCCATCAGGTTTTTGGAACAGCCTTAGGGCTGTTTCCTGAATCCCCCCTCCATGTCCCCATCCCCAGTGCTGGATCCATGTTCTTCAGCAAGCTGAAGGTGCTTTTTCTCTTCAGCAGCCAAGAGAATTTGACCTTCTGTGAGCATGCAGTTTTCTATCAAAATTTTCAGGCAAGATCCACGCCTAGTGCCTGTGCCCAAACCTCCACAAGACTGTGAGATCAGGGCATTGCAGCTTATCCAGCTTTCCAGGACAGTGTCCTTGCGGATTTCTAAACCCACAGGGTGCTACAGCGGTAAACTTCGGATGAGCTTTCAGGTCCCTTCCAACCCCAACCATTCCAGGATTCTATGGTTCTACACAGAGAGTCAATGCAAGTTCCAGAGGTGATTCCAAAGGAGATGTACCCATGCAGGGACTGGTGTCAATGCTGGGGCTTTGCTGGCCCCCTCCTGCTCATGCAGGGGTGGGGGTGATGCCACAGGGACCCTCAGCACCACCAAGACTCACCCCTTCCAGGTACAGAGGTCCACGATCAGAAATCCATTATCTTCATAGGTGTTGATGTGATGGAAGAGGTTGAAGGCCGAGGTGCGGTATTTGATGTTCAGGAGCCTGCCTTTCTTTTTCTCTGCCACATGAAGCCAGACCTGAAGAACAAGCAGCAGCTTGGGTCTGGCTCAGAGCAAATTGGTGAAACCAACACAATGGACCTCCCAGTGCAGAGCTGGCTGCACAGGACAGCCAGTTAGGTACAACATGCTCCTTACCCCCATGGTCTCGTTGGACTCGAAGCAGTCCATGTAGTTGGTTCCCCAAAGGCTCCATGCGGAGAGGAACTTGAAGAGGTTGATTTTCACTGGTGTTTCAACAAACACTATGTAGTTTTCTGTCAGTCCAAAGCTGTTTGGAAATGCACAGGGAGCACATGAAGCTCACTGGAGTTTGCTTGGACAAAACCACGTAGGAGTTTGTGCTGACCCCGGGACATGTTACCTGTGAACATAGGAGGGCTTGAACCTGTTGCTGCAAGGGAACTGCACCACCACCTCCGACTTGTTTATTGGGTCTTCCTTGTCTGGAACAGGATAGACAAAGGGTTATGGGGGATTCACCTACTTTGTATTTGTAGTGTTTAACCAGCAAGGAAGTTCATGGGAGGGGCAGGTAGTGATAGGACAAGGAAGAATGGCTTTAACCTGCTAGAGGGGAGACTGAGATGAGCTCTTAGGCAGAAGCTCTTCCCTGTGAGGGTGCTGAGGCGCTGGCACAGGGTGCCCAGAGAAGCTGTGGCTGCCCCATCCCTGGCAGTGTTCAAGGCCAGGTTGGACACAGGGGCTTGGAGCAAGCTGCTCTACCCATAGCAGGGGTTGGATAGATCAACTTTAAGCTCCCTTCCAACACAAATTATTCAAGGGTTCCATGATTCAGTGATTTAGAAACTGAGGTGTGTTAAAAATAACATTCCTGTTACTTCAAAAGGCAAATAAAAATCTAAACAAGATTAAAACAAGTAACTCAATGACAAAGCTAATTTGAAGGATAAAGAAGTGATAGCTAGGACAAGATTGTCTCCATTCACACAGAGGTGGGGTAGATGCACCTTCCTGAAGAGGAGGGATCCGTATGATGTTATAGGCGAGAGAAAAGTTTTTTCCAAAGCAATTCCCAATGTTGTAAACGGTGCCATCATTCTCGATGTGGGGATGAGCTGTTGCCCCGTTCACAGACACGTATTTACAGAGATCCACCTGAGGAACAAGATGGAACAGTCAGGAGCCTTCCTGGCAGGAGAGGGAAAGTCGCCAGCTCCATGAGGTCAATGTGTCCTTGTTTCAGGTACGGGAAGTTCTTCTTTAAGCCCAGATCACCATTCATGTTGTGAAAAGAAAGGCACCAAAGCCAAACAATTCACACTGTTACAGGGAGAGGTTTGGGATGCTGAGGTCCAAAAAGAAAAGCTTCACAGGCTGGACATTGGTAACACAGCAGAGAAAACCATCAAAGCATAGATTCTACCTTTGTTGGAGTTTTACAGGGCAAATGTAGCTTGGGTCTGGTGTAACTGAAGGCAGCAGTGAAGCTCTGGCAGGAGCCCTACCATCACAGTCACCTTTGGCCAGGCTACAACCTCGCTCCAGTTTGCAAACCCCAACCCTAGCA